AGTATCCACCAAGATTCATCAACAAAAACATGAAAGAAAAGCCTTCGTCGCCAAAAATCACAACTGTTCCTAATAAAATTCTCTTCATAAACATGGAATTCAAAGGTGACATCCCAGACAAAATTCTTAGAAACTGCCTTTCTAAATGTCTGAAGAAGACATTTCCGACAGCCACCTTACGTATTACATTCTCCAGCAGACGGATAATCTAGTCTAATGTTAAGGATAAGATAGTGCTTTCGGCCACTTCAATGTGTATTTATCAATTTAATTGCTCGTGTGGATTGAAGTATATCGACCGTGCTCAGTGCCAAGTTCATAAACGTATTCTGGAATATTGTCCAGCTTGGTTAACCAGAGGAGGAAAGAAGAATAGCAGCAGCTCTATCTTCGAAAACACCTTGTCATCTCGGGACATCACGAATCCCCTACAGCATGAATGCTTCACAGTGCTACACAGAGTCCCTCAATATCGTACGAAAGGACTTCGAATACGTCATCTGTACATAGCTAAATCATTGTCTATTCGGGATATGAAACCGGACCTCTGAATTAAAAAGCACTACATACACTTACTACACTTACCTATCGTGGCCAGAGTAACGTTCTTACTATAATAATAATTATTATTATTTTATTACCATTATTCTCATCATCCATGCTTTATTATCACTCTATTACTGTTTATTAATAACGTTGCGTTTTCATACAGATTTTATATAGAAACACTTTATCGCCTTTCCAGTAGTTCTTGTCCATTCTACACAGTCATATTTGATAAGTCATTTTCTCACAATGATGATGTCATGCTAACGTCTGCCTCTTTTCTAACTTTCGACTGGTCACTCCTTGTCCAGACTACACGTTATATTACGTAACACGTTATTCAAGGAGAAATTCTGCCAGTATCTGATTGGTCGTCCTATGTATACTTTGTTGACCACTACGCTGTTGACCAACTCTATGTGTGTTTATCAATTCATATGCTCATGTGCAGCTGGGTATATCGGTCGTTCGACACGAGTTTTGTTCAAGAGGGTGCAAGAACACTATCTTGCATGGTTATGAAGAGGTAGAAGTGGAGCAATAAGAAGCGCGATCATTGAACATCTGGTCGATAATGATCACCCTATCTCTATAGTCTCCGCCTTCAAAGTCATCTACAAGGCAAAGAGTAATTTACCTAAATCCCTACGTACCCGACTCATCTGTATTGCTGAAGCCATCTTTTGCTCTCGAAACAGAAAAGCCAGATCTCTGTGTAGAGAAGAAGTTCGTTCAACCCCTCCAACTTCCATGGTCTTAATCCCTCTATGCTAAGGTATGGTAATCCCCAGTCATATTTTAGCTCTACCAATTTTTCATTTTTGTCTATTCAGTTTGTATACTCTTCCTTATTAAGTCAATTGTTACTATTACTACTCTCACTTTTAATTGTCCCCGGTATCATTTCACTTGTTCCACTTGTCATTCTAAATCAATTCCTTTATGCAACATTAAATTCTATGCTATTAAATTTCACACAATATTACGTAACGTTTTTATTTTATTCGATTTGTCTACTAATCTTATAATTGCACATCCTTATTCTATAAACGACATTAATTTGCTTTGCCACTTGACATTTAACTATGATTATTATTTACAAACATTGTAGTTCTAATTGCATTTCATATTATTATTATTTTATGCATTCACACCTATGATTCAATTCCCTCACCGGATATAACTTCTTAAAAACCATGTATATACGATTGTACAGCTTGATGATAAATTCGTTGAAAAGAGTCTCTTTGCTGAATCATTTGTTTTGATTTTCTAAATATAACTACGACTGTACAGTAGATTATGAAAATGAATCGTCGAATAGGAAATTTTCTTCGCTGTTTACGTCGTCTTTTTCTAATGACTCAGTATTTGAATATTTGGTTCCAGTGAAATTATCTGATTACATTAATCAGGTAGAATGGAAAAACAGAAGTAAATCAGTTATTTTATTATTCATAATACCCACTTTTTTATAAGTGGATCATTAGAAACACTTCTGATAAAGTGTAATTAGGAGAAGACAGGACTACTTTGGACCGATAAGATAACTCTATGAGATCTGGATTTCAAGAGCATTTATGTCTAATTGCACACAAACTTGAAGGCTTACAGGCGAAAACCAACAGACTGACGGAAGAGGCTGGTAGCAATGATAGGATTCTAGGTGAATACATAGAGGAGACAAAGGTGATGAAGATAACCAACCAAACAACAAGCAAAAATCACTTCCATTTTGAAAGTCGTCACTTCTATCACATACCTAGGAAGCATCCTTTCAACTACAAGAGGCCCCATAGATGAAAAAGCCAAAATCGGAATCGGAAAGGCGAGGGACACTTTCATCACTCTGAAACTAGTTTGGAAGTCTCCTTCACTCAGCCAGCATAAAAAACAAAATTCGCATTTTAAACAACAATGTTAAGTCAGTCAGTCAGTTGTTCTATATGCATAAGAAACTTGCACTGCACATTATGAAAAGGATTTGGGACAGGCCATCGTTGGCTTCTATCAACAGCTGGCCCCTTCGCTGGCTCCATATTGAAGATCAAATGGTTGGCTGGCCGGCTAGAAAGAATTAGCAGAGGACAAGAAACTCTTGGATCTAACCAACTGGCGAGAACCTATTGCTCAACAAATATGACAAGGAATATAGAGATGGATAGAATACATTCCACTGAGGAGACCATCGAATGATATTGGGCTTAATGCAGGCCATCACTCGAGTGGAACCCGAATGGGGAACAACGAGTTAGATGTGCATCCGAGGGTGACATGGAGGAAGTCGTGTCAGCAGGAAATGAAAACCTAAAGGAAATCGTAGGGTCAGCTGAAGTGGAATGCAGACAGTAGGACGATGTGGCGATGTGTATGTTCCCCTCGGAACCCAAGGAAGTAATAATAATGATAATAATAAAAGTTTTCAAAAGAATGGACACGGAACAAAGAGTACTCTTTTCGATAACCCCTTCATCATCAGGCTCTGCAGTTTTATATACATCATAGTGAATGAATGAATTAGTGTTATGAACAACATGAATGTTGCTGTTTAAATAACATCGAATCAATAAAATTGACAGATTAAAGCTGAACAGCATCAACATAAAATAAGCTGAATGTCAGAAAAGTTAGGAAAGGTAATAGCACAAATTCATGAGTTTATGGTCTCTACTGAGGGTCAGGGTGGTAGTAGGGGCTGGACTTGTTTCTTTTGGACACAGAGCACTGGTTGTTTGAGGCGAATTGCAATAGCCTCTGCTGTTTGGAGTAAGCGGTGCTTCAACGATTTTGGTAGTTTGTTAGGTACCCGGTATATTATGGAGAAGGATTCTTCTACGCTGGCTTTGTGACCGGTTTGCACCAGATCGTCTAATATCGAGCTGTTAATAGTTTTAACTACACCTTTACTTAGCCATAGGGGGATATGTTCACGAGTGAACACGAAAAATCAAGTTCCTAAATCAACGGCCAGTGTAACTCGCTTCATCACAAGCACAGTTAAATTGATAAATACAATTTGAACTGGCTAGTCTAGACATCTCATCTTTCAGTCGAGGTAGCACCATCGGTCATGTAGAGAATAATACGTGTAGTTCGCTAGCAATAAAAGTTCTTTGAACTGATTTTCTTAATTGCTTCGTAATTATGTCGCTTGGTATATTGCCCAGGAATTGTAGTCGTATATAAAGTAGCTTCTTGTTTACAGATAGTGGGTAGTCCTTTTCGGCTTTCTTTGTCATATGTTTCTTGACAAATTTGTCAAGATAACCATTTTCGATTAAAGTATCATATACAACGCTTAATTCATCTTTAATTACTTCTTCAGAGCATATAGCTCTAACTCTGTGGCTAAGGGTCTTCACTAAATTCCTTTTTGTAATTGATGGGAACGAAGCTGTGAAAGTGTGTATATTGTCCTGTCCAAGTACTTTTTCTATGCAAATTTCTTTTTATGCTACCATCTGGTTTTCTTGTAAGTAGGACATCCAGGAAGGCAATTCTGTCTTGGGATTGCTCTTCGCATGTGAATTTCATAGCCAAATGCACCTCATTGAATTCAGTAATTATTGTACTTTTATCAGAACCGTTATCACAAAAAATAAAGTTATCATCCATACATCGGCAATAAAATGAGAGCTTAATGATAAGGTTGTTCAGAGGTCCATTTTCTAGCTTACTTAGAAAGAAATCAGCCAGAATGGGACCCAATGTGAAGGACACCATTTAGTGTTAAAATCAAGTCTGAATAACTTTGCACAATTCGCCTAGCAGTCCAAGTTACCATACCTCGAAGAAGTGAATATAAAAGAAGAGTAAAGGAAAATAAATCAAATTATAACGGTCGAAAAATGTACAGAAAAAAGAAAAATTAAGTAAAGAACAATAATGATTTTCAGAATCAAGAGGATGATAAGAGATAAACAAATCAGGATAATTGAAAATAATAATTATGAGCTGCATCACCGAAATTCTCCAAACAACATTGCTTCTCAGAATGCAAAGCACGTCACAGATATACACCTTCTCATCTCAGATATCTGAAACAGACAGTGAAAGAATTTGTGCATTGTGCCAGTGTTAGAGCACTCTCAACTGGGTCAGTGTGCGTTACACAAGTCCTAGACATCAATCAAACAGTCAGTCGACGAATACTGCCCACCTCGTCAATTGTCTTTACCTCTGTAGCCGAAAATTCTACGCCATTATATCATAAATATGTGCGTCAGTGGCACAGCGGTAAGGATGCTCGCCGACCATGCACATGGTCCGGGGTTCGAATCCCGGCCGACGCACTCCTTTACCTCAATAAGCCAGAAAGAAAAGCTGGTAAAGAGTAAAGGTTGGGCATGAGGCTAGCAACTCCATCCTGTAAAAATAAACGCTGTAACATAGGGCTTCAAGCTAAGGGCTTGAAGCCCTATGTTACACTAGGAACGTGAAGGAATAAAAAAATATCATAAATATACATATATAAGCATACATATATAAACACAATATAACCCACCAGTTATTGTCACCTTCTTAGTAAACTCAAAGATTGTACGTTTATCCTCATAATTCTTTAGAATGCATCTGACTTCAGTTTCACCAGTGTTATAATATACTTGATAATCTTTTGGTGGTGTTATAATTGTTCTATTTTCATAAGAGCTTAAACTGATTAAATCATTTAAGCCTGTTAGTATTTCTACTTCCCAATAACCATTTAACTGTTTCACTAAACGGTTAGGTAATAATCCACATTCTGCTGTTTTATTTGTACCAATAGACCAATACAGATCTAGTGTATTCACTCCATTCAGTGTTCCATCCATACCACAGGCTAAAATGTTTAGACAAAAAAAACACAAAATGATTTCTATGTTTATGTTCATGTGTTTGATGATGGTTAAAGGCGAAATGGGAATTTTGGTATTCAAGGATGAAATGGTTTGCAAAGATTTGATTGGTTACAGGATTTCATTATGAGATGATTAATATCGGTTGGAGAACCACTGGAAAACCATCATTCGACTGTTGGACATCCAGGTACTTCGTCAGGCTTGTTTGAGACTCTTCAGACATGTGTGTACCCACCCCATTGTCAGGGTTCGAACCCAGGTTACAAGTTGGGCGAGCTCGTAGACCATTCAACCACTGGCCACCGAGACTCCTCAATGGCCAGTCCATGAATTTTAACTTCTGTCAATTCACGATGTAGTGCGACAACTGGGTAGTGTTCTCGGTGAGGTGAGTACTTGTCCTCACTGTAGGATTCGAACTGGTAGCTTCTGAACTACTCGTACAACGGTCTACTAGCTGACCAAGGAGACTCAACTGTTAATAAAGATGGCCATTCCACCGTAATGAATATTGGGAATCCCCATATGAAAAAATACACAATATAAACAGTGTTTTGAATTAGATTTTTTTAATGGTCTTTAGTGTTAAAGTCAAGAGAACCTCGTTGGATCAATGATTTCAGATCATCCTTAACCCCAAGAGCAGGGGGGGTGAGGAGGCGGGTTGATTCATAATTGTATCCACTTTGAAGAGTTTTAAAATAGAAGGGAAGCTCTGTCCAGTACTCTGGGTTTCGTACTGGTTCAAAAACCAATGTCACTCTATGAAATCAATCAAATTAGTAAAAGAAAACTCAACAGTGGAATATTAATTAAGTAATTACTCAGAGGCTGGAGAACACTAACCGGTGGATTCTAATTCATCGGTTGAATGACCATCGGATTTAACAATCTATAAATAACGTTTTTACGATTTACTAAACTAAAATATCCACTAAGATATACATGTTGTTTATGTTTGGAGCGAACAGATAGTACAAAAATTATCCTTTAAAATAATTTTCGAAACAGAGAACTGACGTACATTATTTTTACCACTGACAACTGGTCCACAAAGACGGCACGGAAGTTGAAACTAAGTCAAGCATAAAATACCTCGGAATACTTCCTACCTATCCACTGACCTCTCTTAGTCAGTTTCTAAGAAAATGTTCCATATAACCACCTTCTACATTAGGAAGTTAAGACAATCAAAAACCCTTCAGCCTTTGCTTTCACAATTCGTTCACTCTTGCATTTTACCTATTAAACTTTACTGCTGTCCCCCAGCCTGTTATTCTTATCCTGGGCTACTCAAATAGGACTATGTCATATTGTGAGGGGTGTTAAAGGTTGTCAGCAGGAGAATTGGTATGCCGCTTAATTAGCTTGTTACTACTGTAGTCGATAGATACCTGGACTCATGCGAGAATTGGTCTAAATCCATATTGTCTGTCTCTTAACACCCTTTCTGTACTCATTTCTCTCCGCCTTGTATCTCATCAGGTAGCAAGACTAGAAGCCATTATAGGAGATTATTTGCTCGTATAACCAAGTACGGAAACTCAACGATATCCTATTCGCTCCGTGTACTATTTGATAGAGATAATGTTCAGTACTAAACCTATGACTTACTATGTCATTAGCAAAATAACTAAGTCTTTTATTCTCCCCCAATTTTTAATCAGTTTTGGTTAATTACACTCTATTCCCTACGAAATGTGCAGAAGGAAATGGAGGTGAACTGGATATATCCTGAGTAGACACCTTCAAGTGACATTAGACACAGGTTGTCTAATGGAATCGCAATAAGGAGCGACTAAATGAACGAATGTTTGGTGGAGGGTGAATAGCAGTCGCATAGTTAGTTGAAATTTGATAGCAGGAAACTGAATGCAAGATGCTTCTCTAAAACCACATATATCTCATTAGGAATCCCAAGAAAGAAGAATGATAAGAACAGTGATCATTTCTTGCATTTGGTTCCCTTGATAAATTTCGATAGAGAAAGAAAGACCAGATTTGCAGGATAAAATGATATCATCATTCTATTTCACAGGTTCTCATCAGCTGACTGCAAACTACCTGAAATTACAATGGTTATAAATAATAACATTTCATACTTCAATGTTTGAAAGGTAATAGAGAAAACATTATAAGATGAACGCATCCGGAATATAAGTATTACAATTTTTAGTTTAAGTTACCATCAATTTATATACTATCAAACTATGAAAAATAAGGGGGGAGGTTAGGGAAGACAGAAAACAGAAAAATCTAATAAACAGTGTTAGCTTGTATGTCAACATGGCAACTCAAGAAGGTTAAAGTTCATCAAATTGAAAACTTGCTAAGTGAGCTGAGCTCACTAGTGTGTATGACTAATCAGTGTAATGAAAGTAATACGGTTACCAAGGGAGTGAGAGATTGACTACACTCTCTTTCTGTGTGCATAAGTTTGGTCTGAAACGTTTGATTGCAATTGCTTCAGCAGTAAATCGTAGTAGATTCGCTGTCCTTTGTATGTTTAATATTTTGAAGGATTTTGAAATCTTGACAAAATGACCCGTATCCACAGTTTGGTGTCTGGTAATTGCACTTTGTAAATATCTGCTTCCTTTTAAGCATAAGTTTCTTGGTATATGCTGTGAAAACCGGATAGAAGTCCTTCTTTCTGTCCTTCCAATGTACTTGCTGCCACAGGTGCACGTAAATTTATAAATGCAGTTGGAGGTAACATCAGCAGGGTACTTATCCAGTTTCGATTGGCTTATAGAGTATGTAGTGCTGTATAGTGTCACCAGCTTAGCTGCAGGGAAGCATCTTTTTATTGCTCCTTTCATCCTCTTTTCAATCTTTTGTGATACTGCTTCTCCATTGAATGGAAAGCAAATGAACACTTTCTTCTTTTCAACTGTTGGATACTTCTCTTTCTCATTTGTTTCTCTGCTGTACTTTAGGATAAATCCCTTTGGATACCCTTTCTCCCCTAAGGCATTTTTCAACAAAACTTAATTCTTCGTCCACCTTGTTAGGCGACAATAACTTCCTGGCTCTGTTGTACAGTGAGTGTCCTTATTAATCCCCGTTTATAGCTTATAAGACAGAAGCTATTTTATACTAAAAATTGTAATACTTATATTCCGGATGCGTTCATCTTATAGTGTTTTCTCTATTGTGGTGAGAGCTGTCTGCTGGCCAAATTGGTAGACAGTAATTTACTTCAATGTTTACGTCCCCAATATTGGTCATGAGAAAAATAAGAAGCAAGACTGATTCAACAACCATTCACAGCAGACTTTGCATAGGCGGATACAATTTGCAGATAGATAATCTGAACTTCAAGAAACGGCTACAAAGAGATGAAAGATTAACTTTCAGCGAGAAACCACCAATCAGAAGACTGTGTTTGTTTGCTTACAATAATCTATAATAATGTACATGAAAATCTATAAATATGTGTTGATTTTCCGTGATAAACGATCTGTGGCCTGGCCCTTGTCTTCTGCTGTTACATTTGGTGTCGCTGCCTACCGACAAATGGAAAGCCTATGCCCTGCAGTTTTTGATGGAGACATATGGATCTTCGGGCAGGACTTTGAGGCTTCTACGCAGCTGAGTGGCGTTCAAGATCTGTCAGTGATGAGGCTGCTACTTGGGACGCTGCTGGGAGGTCGGGAGAAAGCAGCATATGAAAGTGTTAGGCGAAATACCTACGAATGTGTGGCAGGATCAGGCAAACAGTTTCGAAAGTGGGAAGGACCACATATGGTCACGTTGAGATGGGGTTACGCAGACACAATCGCAATGGTAAACACAGAGAAACAGGTGAACATCCGCAAGTGCCGAGATTACAGACAGAAAGACAAAAAGCAAAGCCCCAAGAACCAAGAAGACCGAACCGACTTCAGTCTCAAGTCTTTGACGGAGGTACGAGTATGGTGAGAGCTGGCTGCCAGCCAAAGTTGATAGACAGTAATTGACGTCAATGTTTATGTCCCCAATTTTGGTGGTGAGAAAATCAGAACAAAGGCTTTGCGTAAGCGGATACAGTTAGCATATGGATGATCTGACACAGCCACAAAGAGATGCAAGGTTAACTTTCTGTGCGAAACAACCAATCAAAAGACTGTATTTTCTACTAACAATAATCTACAATAATGTACATTAAAATCTATAAATATGTGTTGATTTTCCTTAATAAACGATCTGTTACCTGGCCTTTGTCTTCTGTTGTTACAATAGTATAGTAACATTTCAAGCAGCCAATCAGAGCTGCCTAGTACACTGATGACGTGGCTATATTTTTTTGGTATGTGTGGAATACGTATTCCTGCAATGTGTGCTACTGCTGACACGATTTATCAGTAGTATACAAGGAGACGTTCAACGGTACAGATGTGACGCGTGAAAGACAGTAAATAAACCAGTTTTACGGAAAAAAAACATGAAAAGAAGACAAAGAAACACACAATATGAAGGAAAGGCAGTGGTAAGTAGCACAATATGGAAGACCTGTGCAAATGAAGATTTTTTATACAAAGTGTACATAATTTCCACAAAAGTGGATGTCAAATTGCAAGTTAACATTCCGTTACCACGACTCTTATCTTCTACCGTTGCACTACCACCCAAATAATTGTTACACTATTGCCTGTCAAACATTGAAGTATGAAATGTTATTATTTATAACCATTATAATTTCAGGTAGTTCACAGTCAGCTGATGAGAACCTGTGAGATAGAATGATGATGTCATTTTATAATAGTGAAAATCTGGTCTTTGTTTCACTATCAAAACAAGCATTATTATTATTACTATTAGAAGTAGTAGTAGTGTAAGCGCAATATCGCTTGAAATTAAGTCACGCGTAGATAAAGGCTATCCCGGTCCAGAACAAACAAGAAGCCGGTCACTGTTTCTACGGTACTATTAATAAACAAATCAATAATTATATATACAACAAACCTTAACGGTTTCAAGAGTACAAAGCACAACGCTT